TCTATCTATCTGTCTGTCTGTCTGTCTGTCTGTCTGTCTGTCTATCATCTATTTCCTTATTTATTTCCTTATTGTTGACCCTTAATAAATAGCCAATATATTATTTATTTCTTATTCAGAATGCAGTTCTGGACTAATTTTGGTTTTAAAAATCAACCAAATCAAATATCCTATCTAGTTCTGGCATGAAGGCATTTAGTTTTCTGTCCAAATATTATTTATTCTCACTAATTTTTTACATTTTGGAAATGCTTTAAAAAATATGTATTTCAATTACTGAAAACAATTTTAACAGTTTTAGTATTACTTTTGGTTTATTTACCAATAAAAACACTGCTCTGGCCAAACTTTGTAAATAAACACCTAGTGTCTTTGAAACTTTGGGCCTCGTTCATAAAACATGGTGCAAATCATTGGTTAAAAAAACATTTTTACATATAAAACACATTCAGTTCAAAGCAAAATGGACACATGCATGTTTTTACACATATTTGTTTGCGTAAAAACACTTCTTTGTGTTTTGTGAGTGAACGAACCATCAAAGGTTTTAAATAACATCTGTTCAATTTCCTAGGTAATTATACCTGTTGATTGGAATTTTTTCATTTTTTTTCATTTCGAGGGTTTTGCCACATGTAAACGAACGTATGTGTTTGCCTGTGTGTGAGGCGTTAGCATATGTGAAATACATATCATAGAAACAGATGATTGAGGAAAACAGTAGACAGCAGTTATGTCCCACTCCAGCACAGATATGCAAATAATAATTGGATCTCTGCTCCCTCATCTCTACACAGCCGGTCATTAGTCATCAGATGCTGATGTATCTGCTCTCAGACGAAACGTCTCCATTACCTCTCAGCTGGACTCGCTCTGGTATTCATCTTCTGGAGGTCTCGTGGCCTTTACTTACACATTTCCATGAAGGTCACGAGACCGTAGCCCGTCCCATTTGTCATTTTTCAGAAGGGTTGCTCTCGGCGGCTCTTTTACCAAGCCTACAACACTAGAGTTCACAGCGGACTACTGCACTGAAGTCTTTAAAGGATGCTGGTCTTTGCAACTTATTTTAGTCAAGAGCTGTTAGAGAGGAAGAGACTGTCTGGCTGATATGTAAAGCGAACAACCTCGTGTGTTTTGTTTTTATGTGCTGTGTAAATGTGAAAGTCTTTCAGAGATTTAATTTAGTGAAACTCACAAACTCCAGATCCAGCCAGTCATAAATCACACTAAATTAATGTTTAAATTGACAGTCCTAATGTGGTAATATTAAAAACAAAAACAAACCACAAAAAAAAATCGAATATATTCCTTATTATGAAATATATGTACTGCACAGGCTGGGGGAATCGTACATTTTTAATCACTTTTTTACTCATAGTTAACTGCACAACGATAATGTTTGAAATGAATAGCAATTCAAAAATATAATTACAAATTAAAATAGATTTTGAATATCCGTTACTTGAAAGAAATGAAACATTAACTAAAATAAAATTATATATACCAAAACGTATTTTATTTCAACTTATTTTATTTTTCTTATTTATTTTACTTTATTTCAGGCAACGTTCCTCACTTCCATGTAGTTTAACTTGATGCATAATAAAATGACTGAAACTAAAACTGAAATAAAAAAAATCATAAAAAATACTATTTAAAAATTAATTAATTAACTAAACATTAAAAATAAAGAAAAATTTCCAAAAAATGGCAAAAAATCACAGAATAAAATGACAAAAACTAACTAAAATTAAAATTAAAACAAAACTATCTAAAATTAATGCAATCAAAAATATAAGTAAGAACGTCTCGGTTACGTATGGTAACCCTCGTTCCCTGAAGGAGGGAACGGAGACGTCACGTCCCGTCGCCACAGCTCCTGTACCACCGCTGAGCGGCCGGGTCACCGGCTCGGCTCCTCAGCGAAAACCTGAATATGCGCTGCATCTGCTGCCTACTTATACTCACGCTGTGATCAGTGGCAGCTGGATGCAATAATCGCATGCCAATGTGCATTGGCTCGTTTAGTTTACACTCGAAGTAGATTGGTCTCTCTAAGCGAGATCCCAATTTCGTCGGTCATCCGACGTGACGTCGAGAGTGACCGACTGAAAGGGAACATCTCGGTTACGTATGGTAACCCTCGTTCCCTGAAGGAGGGAACGGAGACGTCACGTCCCGTCGCCACAGCTCCTGTACCACCGCTGAGCGGCCGGGTCACCGGCTCGGCTCCTCAGCGAAAACCTGAATATGCGCTGCATCTGCTGCCTACTTATACTCACGCTGTGATCAGTGGCAGCTGGATGCAATAATCGCATGCCAATGTGCATTGGCTCGTTTAGTTTACACTCGAAGTAGATTGGTCTCTCTAAGCGAGATCCCAATTTCGTCGGTCATCCGACGTGACGTCGAGAGTGACCGACTGAAAGGGAACATCTCGGTTACGTATGGTAACCCTCGTTCCCTGAAGGAGGGAACGGAGACGTCACGTCCCGTCGCCACAGCTCCTGTACCACCGCTGAGCGGCCGGGTCACCGGCTCGGCTCCTCAGCGAAAACCTGAATATGCGCTGCATCTGCTGCCTACTTATACTCACGCTGTGATCAGTGGCAGCTGGATGCAATAATCGCATGCCAATGTGCATTGGCTCGTTTAGTTTACACTCGAAGTAGATTGGTCTCTCTAAGCGAGATCCCAATTTCGTCGGTCATCCGACGTGACGTCGAGAGTGACCGACTGAAAGGGAACATCTCGGTTACGTATGGTAACCCTCGTTCCCTGAAGGAGGGAACGGAGACGTCACGTCCCGTCGCCACAGCTCCTGTACCACCGCTGAGCGGCCGGGTCACCGGCTCGGCTCCTCAGCGAAAACCTGAATATGCGCTGCATCTGCTGCCTACTTATACTCACGCTGTGATCAGTGGCAGCTGGATGCAATAATCGCATGCCAATGTGCATTGGCTCGTTTAGTTTACACTCGAAGTAGATTGGTCTCTCTAAGCGAGATCCCAATTTCGTCGGTCATCCGACGTGACGTCGAGAGTGACCGACTGAAAGGGAACATCTCGGTTACGTATGGTAACCCTCGTTCCCTGAAGGAGGGAACGGAGACGTCACGTCCCGTCGCCACAGCTCCTGTACCACCGCTGAGCGGCCGGGTCACCGGCTCGGCTCCTCAGCGAAAACCTGAATATGCGCTGCATCTGCTGCCTACTTATACTCACGCTGTGATCAGTGGCAGCTGGATGCAATAATCGCATGCCAATGTGCATTGGCTCGTTTAGTTTACACTCGAAGTAGATTGGTCTCTCTAAGCGAGATCCCAATTTCGTCGGTCATCCGACGTGACGTCGAGAGTGACCGACTGAAAGGGAACATCTCGGTTACGTATGGTAACCCTCGTTCCCTGAAGGAGGGAACGGAGACGTCACGTCCCGTCGCCACAGCTCCTGTACCACCGCTGAGCGGCCGGGTCACCGGCTCGGCTCCTCAGCGAAAACCTGAATATGCGCTGCATCTGCTGCCTACTTATACTCACGCTGTGATCAGTGGCAGCTGGATGCAATAATCGCATGCCAATGTGCATTGGCTCGTTTAGTTTACACTCGAAGTAGATTGGTCTCTCTAAGCGAGATCCCAATTTCGTCGGTCATCCGACGTGACGTCGAGAGTGACCGACTGAAAGGGAACATCTCGGTTACGTATGGTAACCCTCGTTCCCTGAAGGAGGGAACGGAGACGTCACGTCCCGTCGCCACAGCTCCTGTACCACCGCTGAGCGGCCGGGTCACCGGCTCGGCTCCTCAGCGAAAACCTGAATATGCGCTGCATCTGCTGCCTACTTATACTCACGCTGTGATCAGTGGCAGCTGGATGCAATAATCGCATGCCAATGTGCATTGGCTCGTTTAGTTTACACTCGAAGTAGATTGGTCTCTCTAAGCGAGATCCCAATTTCGTCGGTCATCCGACGTGACGTCGAGAGTGACCGACTGAAAGGGAACATCTCGGTTACGTATGGTAACCCTCGTTCCCTGAAGGAGGGAACGGAGACGTCACGTCCCGTCGCCACAGCTCCTGTACCACCGCTGAGCGGCCGGGTCACCGGCTCGGCTCCTCAGCGAAAACCTGAATATGCGCTGCATCTGCTGCCTACTTATACTCACGCTGTGATCAGTGGCAGCTGGATGCAATAATCGCATGCCAATGTGCATTGGCTCGTTTAGTTTACACTCGAAGTAGATTGGTCTCTCTAAGCGAGATCCCAATTTCGTCGGTCATCCGACGTGACGTCGAGAGTGACCGACTGAAAGGGAACATCTCGGTTACGTATGGTAACCCTCGTTCCCTGAAGGAGGGAACGGAGACGTCACGTCCCGTCGCCACAGCTCCTGTACCACCGCTGAGCGGCCGGGTCACCGGCTCGGCTCCTCAGCGAAAACCTGAATATGCGCTGCATCTGCTGCCTACTTATACTCACGCTGTGATCAGTGGCAGCTGGATGCAATAATCGCATGCCAATGTGCATTGGCTCGTTTAGTTTACACTCGAAGTAGATTGGTCTCTCTAAGCGAGATCCCAATTTCGTCGGTCATCCGACGTGACGTCGAGAGTGACCGACTGAAAGGGAACATCTCGGTTACGTATGGTAACCCTCGTTCCCTGAAGGAGGGAACGGAGACGTCACGTCCCGTCGCCACAGCTCCTGTACCACCGCTGAGCGGCCGGGTCACCGGCTCGGCTCCTCAGCGAAAACCTGAATATGCGCTGCATCTGCTGCCTACTTATACTCACGCTGTGATCAGTGGCAGCTGGATGCAATAATCGCATGCCAATGTGCATTGGCTCGTTTAGTTTACACTCGAAGTAGATTGGTCTCTCTAAGCGAGATCCCAATTTCGTCGGTCATCCGACGTGACGTCGAGAGTGACCGACTGAAAGGGAACATCTCGGTTACGTATGGTAACCCTCGTTCCCTGAAGGAGGGAACGGAGACGTCACGTCCCGTCGCCACAGCTCCTGTACCACCGCTGAGCGGCCGGGTCACCGGCTCGGCTCCTCAGCGAAAACCTGAATATGCGCTGCATCTGCTGCCTACTTATACTCACGCTGTGATCAGTGGCAGCTGGATGCAATAATCGCATGCCAATGTGCATTGGCTCGTTTAGTTTACACTCGAAGTAGATTGGTCTCTCTAAGCGAGATCCCAATTTCGTCGGTCATCCGACGTGACGTCGAGAGTGACCGACTGAAAGGGAACATCTCGGTTACGTATGGTAACCCTCGTTCCCTGAAGGAGGGAACGGAGACGTCACGTCCCGTCGCCACAGCTCCTGTACCACCGCTGAGCGGCCGGGTCACCGGCTCGGCTCCTCAGCGAAAACCTGAATATGCGCTGCATCTGCTGCCTACTTATACTCACGCTGTGATCAGTGGCAGCTGGATGCAATAATCGCATGCCAATGTGCATTGGCTCGTTTAGTTTACACTCGAAGTAGATTGGTCTCTCTAAGCGAGATCCCAATTTCGTCGGTCATCCGACGTGACGTCGAGAGTGACCGACTGAAAGGGAACATCTCGGTTACGTATGGTAACCCTCGTTCCCTGAAGGAGGGAACGGAGACGTCACGTCCCGTCGCCACAGCTCCTGTACCACCGCTGAGCGGCCGGGTCACCGGCTCGGCTCCTCAGCGAAAACCTGAATATGCGCTGCATCTGCTGCCTACTTATACTCACGCTGTGATCAGTGGCAGCTGGATGCAATAATCGCATGCCAATGTGCATTGGCTCGTTTAGTTTACACTCGAAGTAGATTGGTCTCTCTAAGCGAGATCCCAATTTCGTCGGTCATCCGACGTGACGTCGAGAGTGACCGACTGAAAGGGAACTATAATATCTGATATTGAATTGATACAAAAAAACAGGGGTCATGAGTATGCATTTTTTTCTTATAATTAGTAACACTAAATTACCATTTTAAATTGTCAGCCCTAATTATTTGAAGGCCAGGGGCAATGTTGCATTTTTTTTCCCCTCTTCATTATTAACTGCACCATATTAATGTGTTAAAATGACAATGTAAAATGTAAAAAAAAATAGTAAACACAATAGTAAATAGTTGAAAAACTATTTACAATTAATAACACAAACACACACACGCACACACACACACACACACACACATTTTCCAATTGTGTTTTTATCTTAATATTATTTTCAGATTGACTTGAAATTAGATTTGCGAGTATCATTTCGAGTGATTGATTGAGACCTGTTCTCTAAAGTGCTTCATTGATGGCTGCTGTTTTTCTGCAGTGGCTCTAACCGTCTCTCTCTGTGTGTTTCTCTTACAGTTAGAGCTGATCCAGAAGCACACCTGGTACATGTAAGTACTGAACTCCCATGATTCTGGGGACAGGAAACAATCGTTGTGACACAGAAACAGCGGGCTGGGTGTTAGGGACGGATAGACGGGATCAAAAGTGTGTCTGTCTCAGAGATGCGGTGTGATAAACGGCACAGACCTCACATGTCAGCAGCAAGGACACTTTTCCTCCGGCTTCCTCCAGAGAGACAGAGACAGCAGGCGAAGGTCGTCCCTCTCTGGGGTCAAAGACACGCCGCCTGCGTTTAAGCAGAATACTTATGTTTTTCGCTGCTCCACCGTCTTTTCTAACAGATGGTGACAGCAAATATTTGGAGCGGATCTGAGAGGGAAGCTTGTCATGGATTTAGGGTCAGAACTGGCTGTGGTTGTTAGGATTGCGAAGCTGAGAATGAAACACATGCTTGTGTTGCTTTATTAATTGGGATTTGACACGTCCATATGTAGATTATGGATGTATGTGCAGTTATTCTAATGACAAAGTTGCTTGTTTTTATAATCGTTCATTAAAACGCCTTTGAAATGACGTTTACTTTCACCGATATCACAGGGGACACACGGGCTGTGTCACATGATCCTTCAGAAATCATTCTAATATGCTGATTTACTGCTCAAGAAACATTTTTAATTATTATTATCAATATTTTTAAAAGTTGAGTAAATTTTTTCAGGATTCTTTGATGAATAGAAAGATCCAAATATCAGCATTTTACTGTCATTTTATATATATATATATATATATTTGGGTGGGGGGCGATAATAGAAATTAATACTTTTATTTAGCAAGGATGTAAAATTAAGTAAAATTAGTCATTTGCTGTTTCCTGTTGATTATAAGTCAAGGTTTCCACGATTTAAAAAAAAACAAAAAAAAAACCTTTTTTTTAATTAATGAATTAATTTATGAATAATTATGCACAGTATATATATAGTGTTCTATGTTAATTATCTTCGTACTAATATTAATATTATCCAATAGCCCAATAAATAAGCATTGATTTAGGCTACTGAACAAACGAGCTTACCTTTATTCTTTATACTTTTACCTTATTTTTATATAACTAAATGTAGCCAGTTATTTATGCATGCATTTGTTCATTTATTTAACTTTTCTGTATATTTAAATGATTTATATTGGTGGAAGGGGTTAGTGTGTGGAAAAAAAAAAAAACGTGTTAAAGGGGTCATATGATGCTTTTTTAAAGATCATTATTTTGTGTATTTGGTGTAACAGAATATGTTGACATGCTTTAATGTTCAAAAAACATTATTTTTCAAATACTGTACATTATTGTAGGTCCTCTATGCCCCGCCTCTCTCAAACGCTTCGTTTTCTACAAAGTCCCTCCTTCCGACAAGCGCAGTCTGCTCTGATTGGCCAGCTGACCCAGTGCATTGTGATTGACCGAACACCGCAAGCACTCGTCGGAAATGTAACGCCCCTTACCATAATCACAGCTTCAGCTTTCAAAATAAATGTAAAGACAGTAAATAATGTCATTAGTTTTACCATCAGTTCAAGCGCGAAAGGGGAACAGAGTCGAGTGACAGACACAGTGATGAAGCTGGACACAGTGATGAAGCTGGTATGTGTTTGCAGTACACAAGCCACGGTTAAGACAGCTGACGTGCTATGATTTCTGACAAGCAGTTCACTCTCCTGTTATGTGACCCTGTTCCCCTCTCACACACACACACACACACACACACACGATGCACAAAACTCCGCATTTGAACAGTCAATAGCAAATACTTAAACTAATAACAAAACAGTAGCTGATTCAGAAGCGCCAGATTATCATAGCAAAGTCAGAATCTTAAAGATTCCTAAATGCATCTACTTTCGGAAGGCCAAATAAAGTGCTTTTGCTTTCGCCTAGAAACACACAGCGTCTCCCTGACATGCTGCTTCAACACTAACTGCGGTTACTGAAACCACGCCTTCTTTCTTTGCGTGCACATTTGGGCGGCATTACGCAAATATTTCCACATAGTGAGGTAGATATGTGGGGGCGTGTTAGAACGAGACGTTTTAGGGGGGCGTGGCAGAGTCTTAACTTTGATAAAGAATATCTCTTTGGTTTTGAGACTTTAGTCTTTGCAACTTCAGGGATCTTATCTATGCACAATCAGCTTGTAACACTCCAAAGAGAAAGGAAAACTTGAAATCGCATCATATGACCCATTTAA